ATGAGATAGGGCCCGTTGAGGCGCTTGTGCTCCATCAGGTAGGTGATGAGGGCGATGGTCTGGATGGTCTTGCCCAGGCCCATCTCGTCGGCCAGGATGCCGTTCAGGTTGTTGTTGTACAGGGACACCATCCACTCCAGGCCCTGCAGCTGCACGACGGAGCAGGGCTTCAGGTCACCAGGGTCGGTGCAGGAAGCCCACGCCCACGCCAGGAGGCTGCCGCTTCTCCCCCGCTCGGCAGTCCTCATGTGGGCGGGGGGTGGGATAGGGGGTAGAGGAGCACCTACACAGAAGGGACTGACACTTCTGAGCTGGCACTTGCGCCCGCTGCTTGGCAGCTGCTGGGTGCTGCTAAGGTGGAGGGGTGATGGCCGGCCGCCTGCAGGGCTGTTACAGCCTGGCCGCTCACTCGTCCAGCCCAGCGCTCCACTGTCAAGGGTGAGCGAGCATGGCGGTAAATGAAGAGGAGGCCGGCCACTGCTGTTCCCAACACCCAAGAGCAAAAGAGCCAGGGACAGAGGAGGAGCGGCAGATGGACAGACCTCAGGTGGGTTTGCTGGGAAGGTCGCAGGTGGTTAGGGACAGCCTTGCTGGTAATGGGAAGCCCACCTGAGGGGGAGGGTCCTCTCTCCTCTTGGAGAGGAGAGGGATGAGCCAGGACTCAGAGGGTGCTTGGACCTCACCCACCTGGACCTGGGAGGAGAAAGCCACTTTGCAGTGTGGGTCCCCCAAGGGCAGCTACCTGCAGCTGACGCCTGGACACCCGTGCACAACATTGAGAAAGTGGACTGTCATCTTTGGCTTCCCATGTGAAGCACAGAACTCACAGTCTCTGACTGCACCCCAACTCGCAGGGCCCCTACCGTGGGGCGAAGTAGATCTGCCCGTGTGGGTTTCTGAGACGGCATGTCTTCATGGAACAGAAAGCCTCCTCTTTATAACTTGGAGCAACTGGTGGTGCTGAACTGCTGACCATATGGTTAGTGGCCAAACGTATACCCCACCGTGTCACCTGGGGCCTTAGTTGAAAGACTTCGTCTCTTTCTATATAAGGCTCCGATCCTCTGTATTTTAAAAGCGTGTGGCTGGGCGTTTTCACTGTGAAGGGACCCGTAGCACACTGGTTACAGATGGTCAGTGGATACATTTGAATCCTCTGCATAAAACCTCTTGAAAGTGTGGACGAGCAAGAGTGCCGCTTTAGAGGACTAAGGTGAGCGCTTGGCCCAAACCATGGTGTTTGCCACGGCCTCCCCGGTGTATGCGAGCTGGACACTGAACGAGGGAGACCGGAGAAGAAGGGGTGCCCTGGAACGATGGTGCAGGTGCAGAACAGGAAGAGCACCATGGACTGCCTACGGAGCAAACAGACCTGTCTTGGAAGAAGTACAGCCAGAATGCTTTTTAGAAGCGAGGATGGATGGCGAGACTCCATCTCACCCACTTTGGATTTGTTGCCAGGAGAGACCGGTCCCTGGAGAAGGGCATCCTGCTTGGTAAAGCAGAGGGGCAGCGGAAGGAGAGGACGGCCCTGACGAGATGGACAGACACTGTGGCGGCAACCACGGGCTCAAATGCAGGAACAATGATGGTGAGGAGGGGGCAGGGCTGGGCATGGTTTTCGGTCCACTGTACCTAAGGTCAGAACCAACTGGAAAACACCCACCAACAACATAGACAACGACAAATCCATCCCAGAGCCAGACAGTAGAAAACAGGACCCAACTGAAACCGAAGCCATGGCCACCAGGTCACTGCTGACTCATAGCGAGCCTGCGCGGGGTCTCCCAGGCCGTAACTCTTTATGGAGGCAGACAGCCTCGTCTTACTCCCTCAGAGCGGCTGGTGGGTTCGAACCATCACCATTGACCTGGTGGTTGGGAGCCCCCTGCTTACTCAGCAGCAGGACCAGAGCTCCGAGGAGGAGGACAGGCCCCGGGGAAGGAGCTGAGACAGAAGCACTCTCAGAGTGCCCCAGGCACCGTGGGGCGGGTGGAAACCCTGCAAGCCTGCACTGTGCAGAGCAGGCAGGCCTGAGGGGACCCCTTGCCAGGTGGCAGGTGCAGGCCTCACCTGGTAGTGCTTCAGGGTGCCGTTGATGAGCAGGGCCGACTGCCTCTCCACGCGCTCCGAGATGGCGTGGGCCACCGTGTAGTAGGACTGGGAGCCCCGCGCACTGTACTGCATGCTGTACTCGTCGTCCACGTCCTGCTTGGCCGTCCTGGGGACCGGGGCAGGTGTGAGGGCGGACCGTTGTGTGTGTGCTATCCGCCGCCCACATCTGCTGAATCAGCACTGTTATTGGGAGCTGCCCTGGGTGGTGCTCGGAGATGATCCTCAGAACGGTTGGTGGTTCCAACCCACCCGGGGGTGCCTCGGAAGAAAGAGCTGGTGATCTGTTCCCAGGAGCTCACTGCTGTGAACAACCCAAGGAGGGCAGCTCTGCTCTGCCCACAGGGGCTGGAATGGACTGGACGGCCACAACACAAGCTTGTAGCTATGAGCGTGGTGCCTGGCCAGCAGGGAGCCCCTGACACACAACGACCCCCACCACGCACACATCCCCACGGCCGGGGGTGGATCAGCCCTCCGTGATCCACTAGGTTTTCAATGGCTAAGTCTGGGGAGCAGTCTTCCACGCCTTTGTTCCTAGTCTCTCTTTATCTGGAAGCTTTCGCTGAAACGGGTTCAGCATCACAGCCACACACGAGCCCCCAGGGACTGGTGGGTGGAGGCAGGAGGTGCCCTGACCAGGGACGGAGCCTCAGTTTCCTGCCTAGGAAGTGAGAGTTGTCACCCCATTCTAATCTTCCCCCAAACCGTGCGGTCAAAGCCAACCCCACTGCCATCGAGTTGATTCTGATCACAGAAAACTACCCCGTAGGGTTCCATCTTTACGGAAGTAGAAAGCCTCACATTTCTCCCACCGAGTGGCTAGCAGGTTCGAACCATCGATGTTTGTGTTAGCAGTCCTGCACTCAGCTGCTGGGCCTGCAGGATTCCTTTCACAACTATGTGAGTTCACCACCCTGGAGTCAATGCAAACTCGCAGCGACCCGATAGGACAGGTAGAACTGCCCCTGTGGGTTTCTGAGTCTGTCAATCTCTGCAGGAGCAGAAAGCCGCGTCTTTCTCCCTTGGAGCAACTGACGGATTTGAACTGCTGACCGTGAGATTAGCTGCTCAGCGTGCAACCACTATGCCACCAGGGCTCCTTCACAGAATCTAGGCTGAGCTGTATTCCTGGGGTCACCTTCGCTTTCCAACACCATGCTGGTGACTGTTGGACCCTTTACTACTCTCGTGTGAACGTGGATTTAAAATAACCCACTCTCAAACCTAACTGCCACTGAGTCAATTCTGACTCATAGCAACTCTCTAAGACAGAGGAGAATGGCCCCTGTGGGTTATTAAGACAGTAAATCTTTCTGGTAGTAGAAAGCCTCATCTTTCGCCCTCAGAGAAGCTAGTGGGTTTGAACTGTTGACTTTGCAGGTAGCAGCCCAACTCAAGACTGGAACTCACTGCCGTCAAGTCAATGCTGGCTCGCCGCGACCCTACAGGACCAGACAGAACTGCCCTTCTGGGCTTCCGAGACTGTCACTCTTTATGGGGGCAGAAGGCCCGTCTTCCTCCTGTGGAGTGGCTGGTGTGACTGCTGACCAAGCAGACTGCAGCCGACAGTAATAACCATTGTGCTACCACGGTTCCTTGTGACCTGCTACGTCATCATTATTATCATGCCCACACAGTGCGTGTGGCAACCAGGAGGCTCAGAGAGGCGATACCATCTGCCCAGGGGCACTGGACGGAAAAAGCAGGGCACCAGGATTTGAACACAGGTATGTTTGACCACAAATGACCAATGGGGGGTGGTGGGGCACTTTGCATAGAAACCCAAACTAAACTCCCTGTCCTGGATCAATTCTAACTCGTGGAGACCCTATAGGACAGGGCAGAGGGAGTTCCTAAGACCGCGACTCTTTGCAGGAGGGGGTTTAGAATGCACGACCTGGTAGGTAGCAGTCCAATGTGGAACCACTTGCTCAGCCTTCCGAAACCCGTTTTTCCCAGGAAAAAAAAAAATCCCATACCCCAGAGCAGGCATCCTCAAACTATGGCCCGCGGGCCACATGCGGCCCGCCGAGGACATTTATCCAGCCCGCCGGGTGATTTTGCCCCATTTGTGCCCTCCAGTGGTCTGAGGGACAGTGAACTGGCCCCGTTTAAAAAGTTTGAGGACCCCTGCCCCAGAGGGACAGAGGGACAGAGAGACTGGGGGCAGGAGCGGGGTGGGGTGGGGGCTCACTCAATGATCTGCTTGGCGTCCTTCTCCGACACGTCTTCACTGTTGGGGTCCAGAAGGATCTTCTCCTCCGTGTCCTGCCTCCCAGACTCTTCCTCCTCGTCCTGGGGAAGAGGGAAGGAAGAACGGGGTGGGTGAGGATGCAGTTCCAGCCAGGGACTTACTGGCTGCCACCGGCACTTACTGAGAACCCGTGAGGATCTGAGGACCCAGTGACCTTCCCAAGGGAAGGAAGAGACCCGGCCTGAGGAAGGGGAGGGGGGTGCAACGTTGGCTGGAACAATCCTCAACAATCCCCTCACCCTTTAATCTCTGCATCGGCATTCACGAAAGGGTCCCTCTCGGGGGACGTGGGGGCCTGAGAACTGTTGGTCACCACCTACCCTGATGGCAGCCCCAGGTCCCAGGGGGGAGACGCTGTCTGGCCATGGTGCCATCCCTGTAAACTGACTGCAAACCAGACCTTTCTGATGCAGGCGGTGGGGAATTCATGCTTTCAGAAGCAGACCACATGGCCTTTCAGCTCCATTGACACCTGTCCAGCATCGCAGCCACACACAAGCCCCCAATGACGGGCAGGGGGAAGGGTCCTGACTAGGAACTGAACTAAGGCCTCCCGTGTGGGAGGGAAGGAGGCTACCCCTGGACCACCATGGCCTGCTTTCCTTTTCCAATGTGCCAAGAACATGTGGAATTCACCAAGGTTCCCATGGGCCATGAGCCACCCAGAGACCAGGGCACCCCGAGCCAGCCCCATGAATGCCTGTCAGTCCTTAGCTCCCTGGTCAGCGAGGCCCAAGGCTGGGAGGTGAGAAAGGACAGAAGGACGCAGGGGCTGGCCTGACATCTTCCACACCACTAGACGTGAGCCGGGGCCTCGGATTTACCTCCTCCTCGTAATCAGAGCTGCTCTCCTCGCTGTCCGACCGAGGGGCCACCTCGTAGCTACAGGAAAAGGGAGGGTAAGGAAGCCCGGTTCTTCTTGTGGCTGCCACTGCGCGTGTCCCCGTGGCAAGTGGGGGTCCCACCCCCAAGCACTTCCCCAAAGGTTTCAAGATGCCAGCCTCCCCCTCCCACTGCCCCTTCCCACCTGCCCCTGCCCCACATGCCCTGTCCCCGCCTTACCCTGGGTTCATTTCCAGCCAGGCATCCAGCTGGCTGGCCTTGGGAGCTTCCGATCCGAAGAGGACCTTCCCTGTTTCCGTGTGGGTCACCTTGACCGGCAGGTCACTCATTTGACTGCTCTCATCGATGGGCTGGAGGGAGGGGGCAGACCACTGGGTCACTCAGTTCAGGGACATTATCTTCAGATCTGGGCTGGGGGCTTTGCCCAGTGGGTCCTCCCCACACTTGCCACCAGCCAGTAGATTCCCACTCATCGAGACCCTCTGGGCCAGACTAGAACTGCTCCTCCGGGTCTCTGAGGTTATAGATATCCATGGGAGCAGACAGCGTCGCCGTGCTCCTGCAGAACAGTGGGTGGGTTTGAACCGCCAACCTTGCAGGTACCAGCCTGGCGTGGAAGCCACAATGTCACCTTGAGCTCTGACTCATGGTGCCCCGGTGTGTTAGAATGCAGAACTGCACCTTGAAGGGCTCCGTGGGAAAAGGTGGCCTGGATGCACAGTGATTAAAGTGCTCACCTGCGTACCCAAAGGTCAGTGGCTAGAAGTCCCCCACCCCAGCTAGCTACTCCTCACAGGAAGGATGAAGCAGGAGACCCCATGAAGCTTGAAGCAGCCTCGCCAACCCACGGGGTAGCTCTGCTCTGTCCTACAGGGTCGCTGTGAGTCGGTATTGACTTGGTGGCCGGGGGCTTTAATTTGCTTTTCTTCACTGAAGCCCAGGAGAGGTGACTGCTGCCATGGGCAGAGGAGAACCCCTGACTAGACGCCGTTGCCTCCTCTGGGAAACCAGCCCTTGCTGACAGTTTGCCAGTGATATGGCCGGGCTACTGTCTAACCCACTAGAAGAACGCATGGTTTTACGTGGCCAGACAGGAATCACCCTATGCGAATGAGGGAGGCGGATTACAGGGCTGATGCTCCTGGAGCCAACCCCAGGCCAGGTCTGTGGGGGGCAAGGCTTGCTTTGTCTCAACCACCAGCCATCCAGGTCCATGGAGGTAAGAAAATGGAATGCGTAGACAATTCCCTGCTAATTCCCTGACAATTGCCCTAACTAATGAAGTCAGGTCAAAATACAGCCGCCTACTGCAGGCTGCTTCAGGGACAGAGCACCCGTTAGAAAGGCAAGCTCGGGCTGACCTGAGCTTACTGACCAGTGAACAGTGCCATATGGGTCTCACCCCATCCTAAGCAGGGCACGCACGGGCTTAGGTGTGCTTAATGACTCATCTGCATCCACTGATTCCACACGGAAGATGTAGGGAAACACATCTGGGACCGTTCACTACAGAGTCAGTAAGGCGGCTATCGACCGGTGCTCTCCTTGGCCACCACGCCCTGTCCCTGGCAGGTATGGGGACGTTTGCAATGGGCTTTGGTTCTTCAGGAAGGGATTGTGGGCTGGGAGAGAGGCAGGTGCCGGCCCAATTCTAGAAGCTGGGTGTTGGGTGCGGTGAAATCATTCACTCGGAGAAGCAAGTAAGCACAAGGCAGCCTGTGCTTTCCCTGGCTTGTTGGGTCATCTGACGCTGGTGGCTCTTCTCTTCCTATGGCAAAGGTCACAAAGGCAGTCAGTAAGGAAGAAAGGAGAGAGGGGAGGGAGGGGAGAGAGGAGCCAAGCCCTTGTCCTTGAAGTCGATTTTGGCTCCGGGTGAGCGACTCCCTGGGGTAAGAGACCAGGGATGATTAGCGATTGGCCACAAAAACACCTTTTTAAAAAGGGTACCCCCCACCCCCGATTTTCTCTTTAAGCTTCATGTGCCCTAAAGCAGGGCTTCTGAAGCCCCCTTATGGCGGCATAAAAAAAGTCAGTAGAGTGAGCCCTTGCCACTTCGCGCTTTGACTTCCGCGGCTTCGCTCTATCGCGGTTTTTGCGTAACAGTGCATGCTCTGTCATTACTGCCACTGATTGGCTCATACTGTACACGCTTGATGCCATAAATAATATAATAAATAATAAATGATAACTGTAACGTCCAAAATGTTTTACTGTATTTTCCCTCTTTTGTTTAATAAATTGGGTAATACGAGTGTAATGGTGACTAAAGGGTGTTTTTTCATGTCCTCTATGCTCTAACTATGAAAATATTTGATTTACAAATAAGGAATCCTACTTCGCGGAATTTCATTTATCACGGTAGGGTCTAGAACCGATTAACCGTGATAAACGAGGGTTCACTGTATTTGTATGCAGGAAGAAGGACGCTGGCAGGTCACTGTCATGAAGTCCATTCCGATTCACAGCGACCCTACAGGACAGGGTAGAACCGCCCCAGTGGGTTTGGGATACCGTCACTCTACAGGAGAAGAAAGCCTGGTCTTTCTCCCGAGGTGCCGCTGGTGGTTAAGAACTACTGGCCCTGCAGTTAGTGGATGCAGAATTCCTTACCTCTCCGTCCGGCCCCAGGGCAGGCTCCCCTCCTTCTGCGTTCTCCTCGGCCTTCTGCAAAACAACGGTGGCAAATGCTGTAGACAGGATGGTTCGTGCCCACCCACCGAGAAGGCAGGTACCGGAGCAGCACTGCCTGGCAACCCTCAGGTTCACATCCTGACTTCACCCCACCCATCACCACTGAGCAACACATGAGCACCTTACTGTGGGTTCTCTCCCTCAGTATTTGAGGCAAGGCATGCATTTCATGAACCGCTCACAGAGCGGTGCCAAGCAGAGACCCAAAGCTGGCACATGGTAGATGTGTGGATTGGACCCTTCAGACCTGGCAGCCCCAAGGTGGTGGTCAGAACCTAGAATGTGCGCCTCATGTTTGCCATTATGAAGACAAGCCCCGGCTTTGTGAGCCCAACCTTCGTGCCCCTGCATCGGGTTTGGTTTTGTCTGGATGGCTGAGAGGTGTTTCTGTAATGAAGCGAAGCATGTGCCATTCCGACTCTGTTAGCATGTTTCAGGCCCATGACATGAATTCAAGGCCATCGTGTTCTGCGATCGCTATTTTTCTGCACCCCCAATTTTCTATCAGTGTAACATAAGCGCGTTGTCCTCTAAGCAAGGGGTGCCCTGTTTTTTCCTTCCTCCCACCTGCCCCTGTCCGACCCATGGAGACCTTAGGCACAACAGAAGGACACACTGCCCGGTCCTGTCCCATCTCTACAACGGTTCCTATGCGTGGGCCTGCTGTTCCAGCTGCTGTGTCCATCTACCTCCTGGACGGCCTTCCTCTTTTTCGCCGCCCCTCCACGTGACCTCTTTATTTTGCCCACTGTTAGGTGCCAGGCAAGTTGGTTCCCGGCGTAGCGACACACCACGCACAGCAGAACAGGACGCTGCCTGGTCCTGCGCCATCCCCACGATTGTTGGTGTACTGGAGTCTACTGTCGCAGCCACCGTGCCCACCCAGCTCCTTGAAGGCCGTCCTCTGTTTCCACGGCCCTCTACTTGACCAATCACGATGTCCTTCTCCAGGGACTGGTCCCTCTGGGTCATGTGACCAAAGTACGTGAGACGAAGTCTCTCCGTCCTAGTTTCTAAGGCTCTGTCTGTCTGCACGTCTTCTAAGACAGAGGCGTCTGTCCTTCTGGAAGTCCACAGCACGTTCCATCTCCCTCGCCAGCACCCTCATTCCAAGGCATCGGTCGGTCTGTCTGTCTTCACTGTCCCGCTTCCTTGCAAAGGAGGCGGTAGAGGATTCCCTGGCTCCGGTCAGGCACACCTCAGGCCTCAACGTGACAGCCATGTTTCCAGCACTTCAAAGAGGCCTTGGACAGCAGACTGACATAGCGCAACCATGTGCCCTTTGACTGCTTGACTGCCGCTCCCAGGGCCATTGATGGTGGATCCAAGGAAAATGAAATGCTTCACGGCTTCAGACATTTCTCTATCCCGGTGTGACTGGAGCCCTGGTGGTGCAGTGGTTTTGTGTTGGGCTGCGATCCGCATGGTCGGCAGTTTGAAACCACCAGCAGCTCCTCGGGAGAAAGGCCGGGCTTTCTACTCCTGTAAACAGTTAGTGTCAGGCTTTCTCTGCCCATAAAGAGCTCCAGTCTCGGGAACCCACCAGGGGTCGCTGTGCGTCAGCGTTGAGTTTGCTTTCTGGTATTGCGATGTTGTCCATCGGTCCAGTTGCTCATCTGGAGCTGGATTCAGACTGTCCTCCGTGATCTTCACCAGCAGGTGCGCCACGGCCTCTTCGCTCTCAGCACGCAAGCTTGCATCGCCAGCCAGCTGCAGGTGGCTCATAGCCTTCCTCCAGTCACGCGGCCACGTTCCCCTTCTTAGAGACCAGCTTCTCAGAGGATTTGCTCGGCACACGACTGAGCAAGTGTGGCGAAGGATCCAACCCCTGGTGCACACCTTTCCCGGTCTGAAACCCCCGCTGTGTTGGAATGACTGCCTCCTGGATCTGCCCACAGGTTCCCTAGAACACCAGCTTACTGAAGCCTTGCTTCTGCGGCATCGCTGGAAGGCTGCACTGGAAGGCTGCACCGCTTCTGCACATTGCAGTGAAAAGCAACAAATAACGAGTCACTTCTTTGATCAAGACATTTAAGAAAAGGGCCTTTCCCCCGGAGCCCTTTAATTAATATCGATATAGAGCTCTAATGAATACATCATACATATATGATACAGAATCAATAATAACGAACTTCCTTTAAGACATTCACTGGTACGTTTTTGCTCAGCTGCCTGTTGACGAAACAGCGTTTACAGAAAATGCACAGTTTCCCCTCCCCAGGTTTTGCCTGCATGGAAGAGTCATCGTGTTTGACGCCTTGCACAGCTCTCTGTAAGGATGATCCCGGGTTCTCACCAAGGTTGCGTGTGTGCATGTGGGCCAAGGCGCAGATGCTAATATGAGACCTTCCCCCCGGAAGCAGCAGCAGCAGCAGAGAATGCTCTCTTCTGGCTGTGACGTCCCCAGAATGTTCCGACGCATTCTGCTGATGCCCCTGCTCTCCACACTGAAGACATTTCCTGGGTCCACGTGATGGAGGAGCACCCCCAAGCAGGGCCCCTGCACCCAGGCTGAGGACAGAGCACACAGCGAGAAGCCCACAGCACAGGGCAGCCACGTCGGTCCCCCGTCACAGAAACTTCCGTTCCTGCAATTCTCAGGCACTCTCCTCGTTAATTAATGGGAGAAAGTTAATTCCTCACCCCCCTCCCATCTTTCCATTCCGACCAGAAAGGAGCTACCAACGTAGCCCACAAAGAAAGCCCACACGGACATGGGGAGGAGGCTGATTCCATGTGTCTGGCAGATAGGAGTGGATCGCAGCTTCTACCGGTGCGCCCCTGAAACACGTGGAGTCGTAGAATGAACAGACTCGGGGCGATTCGGAAGGAAGAGCTTAGAGGAAGGGGCTGCCACTGAGCCACAGGGCTGCAGGGAACCATCCCCTCAAATGCCTTCCACTCCCTCGAGAGGCAGTGCGCTCTGGAGTTGGCCAAGCTGAGCTGAGCTCCCACTCTGCAGCTGTGTGCGGGGGCTCTCCGCTGGGTGACGGCCCCACGCCTCCACTGCCTGTCTGTGCACAGAGCCCACCTCCGAAGGCTGTGGTGGGGCTAGGTCGCTGTCGCTGTCAGTACAGTCCAAGGTTGAGAGGTTCCCAAGTGGCGCTGCTGGTTCAGTCCAAAGGTTGTCAGTTCAAACCCACCTAGCGGCCCCTCTGAAGACAGGCTTGGGGGTCTGCCTTGAAAACTCAATGGAGTTCCAACTGAACGAACGTACACAGACTCAGTATGAGTCGGAACCGACTGGATGGCAACTAGCAGCAACGATGAATGGATGACGCATTGGTGGCATCGCAGTGGGTTACCCGTTAGGTTGCTCATCGCAAGGGTGGTGGATCAAAACCACCAGTTGCTCCTTGGGAGAAAGATGAAGCTTTCTGCTACCATAGAGTTACAGTCTCAGAGACCCAAAGGGGCAGTTCTACCCTGTCCTATAGGGTTGCTATGAGTCAGAATTGAGTTGACAGCATTTGAGTTTTGCTTTGTTTTTCTTGAGCAACAATGCACTTCACATTCTGAATCTTCTCCATAAGGCCTTTGTGTCACTTACTTTACTCTCCTGTCAACTTGTGAAGGGGTGGAGCTTAGCCTGTCAATCAGGCCGCAGCTTGATGACCTCATTCTGGAGGCGCTACAGAGATAAATAGCTCACTGGAGGCCAGATACACTCTCCCTGTGAGACATTCTTGCGGACAAGTCACATGGAGCTATGCTGAGACAGCCAGAGCCCCAGAGCTGGAGGAGCCACATGGAAATCCATACTTGCACTGAGATGCTTCCACCACTACTGGACCCACAAGACTTTCCACCCACTGGCCTGTGATCTTCCTGCATTCTGCATCATTGCATGAGTCTGAAGAGGAATTTACAGACTGGTATAGGGCATATGAGGTAATATCAGACTTATGGACTTGATCTGGACTGGGCTGGGATGTTTTCTTAATATACAATTACTCTTTGATATAAAGTTCTCTATCACACACACATGAGTGCCTGTGAATTTGTTTCCATAGTCAACCCGGACTAAAACAGCCTCCTTGAGGAGTTCAAAAGCAAAGATGTCACTTTGAGGACTAAGGTGCGCCTGACCCAGGCCAGGGTACTTTCAGTGACCTCCCCTATGGGCCCAAGTTGGACAACAAATAAGGAAGATAAAAGAGCTGACACCTTCAAATCACGGTCCCGACAAAGATACTGACAGGACCACACCACCAGAAGAACAAACAATTCTACGCATCTTGGAGGAAGTACGGACAGAAGGCTCCTCAGCGGCGAGGGAGGCAAGGATTAATCTCAAATACCTTGCAATGTGTGATCAGTAGGGGCCAGTCTGTGGAGAAGGGCATCATGCTTGGTAAAGCGGAGGTCAGAGAAAAAGAGGAAGTCTCTCAGGAGATGGATGGACAGACAGAGTGTCCACTACAATGGACTCAGGATGTCCACAAAATGAGATACCAATGTGGTTAATCCTTTGTGCGGGAATCAAGCCAGGCTATGGCGTGGATGAAAACTGCCCCATCAGATTACCAGCCAGAGATCTGTGTCTGTTTTGTTCCCAGACCCACAAGGGTGGAGGGTGGGGGGGGGTGGCACTTATAAAGCAAGGGACACAGCAGATAAAAGCAAGAAGAACAGTATCGTCCACATAGCACACACTCAGGGCATTAGGATGAGCAATGCCATCAGCTGCCCATAGATGAGGGGGCTTCTCAAAGAGAATGGGGAAAATGGAATGAAAAGACAGTGGAACGTGGCCATGAGAGCATCCTGTTATTTGAAAGTCACAATAGTTAAGAACACACACACACACTGCTGTGCTCTGCGAGGCGTCTCTCACGTGCCCTTATAAAAAATAACACCACCTCTGGTATTCACGCCCCGTGCTGCCATGCAATGACACCAGGTGGTGGCCAGGGGGCAGTCTACTGTGCTGGGGTCGGGGTGGGGGGCCAGAAGGCCGATACCTTCCGCCATCATGTTTTGGGTTCTTCCGGTGTACAGGGGATGACGGGAGGGTGTGCTTGGACGAAGCCTTCCTCCCGTTTTGTCTTTGTTCCAAATGAAGGCCACGTAGGGGGTGCCCGGTGCCTGGGTGGGAGGAGGCTTAGCCTCTCAGGGCCTGGTGACATAACCAGTGCCCGCTGCTCAGAGGAGTGACATCCACGGTGAACTGCACATGCATGGGTTCACCTGAGCTCACCTCTTGACTTTAATCTCTCTCTCTCTCTCTGACTCCGCCTGTACTGCTTCCCCCCTCCCTGACGACAAGGAGAGAGTCGGTGACAAACACCCTGTGAGGGCCCTGCTCTGCAGAGATGAACCCTGATCCATCCACCGGCACAGCCATGCACGGCATCCCTCGTGGGCCTGTGATGATGATGTTAACCAGCCCCGTGGGACATTCACCTACTGGTGACAAGTCTGATGCTCCCATCAGGCGCGTGAGCTTGCAATGGCACAGGTGGACAGAGGACGACCTCCAGCACGGAAAACCCAACAGTGACCCTGGGCACTTCCCTGACCATCTTGCCGGGCTGCTGCCCCGGCTGGTGCTTGTCTCCAGACTATTCTGACTCTCAGTGACCCGGCATGACCAGGGGACACGCCCCGTCGGGTTGGCTCGGCCGTCATCCTTACAGAGTTGAAGGAATTGATGGCTGGGTCTTTTCTGAAGGAGCAGCTGTGTGCTTAGCCCTGCGCCACCAAGGCTCCTTAATCTGGATTAGGAGAGACCAGTACTGCTATTGAACGGGGGACGCCTCCTGGAGGATCACAGGCCCCTTTATTCCACCTGTCTGTCCCAAGGCAGGCCACAACTGTCTCCTGATCTCCAAGTACACGCGTGTGAAACATCTCACTGCCCGGGAGTGGTGCTGACTCACTGCGACTCCACAGGACAGGGCAGACAGCCCTGCTGTGCGCTCCAGACTGGACCTCTGCTGGCCTCACGGTCGGCAGCTCAACTTGTGAGCTGCTATGCCACCCGGGCCCCTGCATTTGGAAGCCAAGACGGGGGGGTGGGGGTGGGGTTCCCTTGGTTTGGACATCCTCTTCATTGCAGTGGTCTGCAACTGAATCAGCAGTGGGTCTGAGGGGTGCTTCTCAGATTCAGACAACAAAGCAGAACCAAGACACTCCCACACACGCTGCCACCCAGTCTGCTCCAAGGCACAGCGGTCCTCCGTGGGGCTGTCTGTACAGGAGTGGAGCCCTGGTGGCGGCGTGGGGCAGGCATTGGGATGCTAACTGCAAGGTCAATAGTTCGAAACCACACATGGCTTCGTGGGAGAAAGACGAGGCTTTCTACTCCTGTCAGGAGGTGTGTTGTTAGGGTCCGTTCCCATGCATAGCGGGAACAGAAGGAGGCACTGGCCCGGCCGGCACCAAACAGTGTTTGAGCCCATGGTTGCAGCCCGTGTCCACCCATCTGGTCGAAGGCCTTTTTTGCTGCCCCTCCACTTTACCAAGCAGGACGTCCTTCTCCAGGGACTGGCCTCTCCTGACAACATGACTGACGTCCATGAGACGAAGTCTTACCATCCTTTCCTTTAAAGAACATTCTGGGTGCACATTTTCTAAGACAGGTCTGTTTGTTCTGTCTCGGAAACCCACAGGGGTCGGTGTGAGCTGGAATCGAGATTTGATGGCTATGAGTTTGGTTTTGGATAGCAGGGGTCAGATAGCCTCATCTTTTCCCCTTGGGGTAGCTGGTGGGTTTGAACAGCCGGCCCTGCAGCCAGCAGCCACCAGCGTTTCAGAAGTAGCCCGCACCTGTCTCTGACAACTTCCTGGGGCTGCTTTCCACCAGCTCTCGGCACCTGCTGCCGCTTTTTCTATCCAGCTTCTCTGCCGCGACCCGGCTGGCCACAGGGCCATCAGACTACGACCCGGCCACAGGGCCATCAGACCACAACAAGCCCCCACCAGGGGCCCTGCTTTTCATTTCTTGTTGATTCCTGTGTGTGTGTGTGTGTGTGTGTGTGTTTGCAGCTACATCACAGCGCACCATGTATCAAACAAGGAATGAGAACGTCCCCCGTGACTCTTCTGCCCACCACCCCTCCCCTCCCTGCCCGGCCTAACTCCCCGTTGCCCACCCTTTCCCACTCGCCCACGGTTGTTGCTGCTAGTGGTCAGTAGGGGGCCCCCGCGAGGGCGTCCGGGTGAGTCTCAGTGGCACTGTGCTGTCCAGGGGCTTTCAGTGGCACCATTGGGCTCAGAGGCCTTTCTCCTGGGTCCTCCTGGGACGCCTACATCCACTTTGTGCGACACCATTATCAAAGCTCTCCCCAAGCAGGGTCCCTGTGAACAGGGGGTTGGCGAGGAAAGGGAGGAGGCTTCAAAACCCCTGTGGGAAAATGGAATTCAAGGGAAAGACCTTGGAATTCCCCCCAGGGACTTCCCCAAGAGGTGGGGTGGGCCTTGCCCAGAGATCAGATGACTCACCCTCTTCCTCCTCCTCCTCTTCTTCTTCTCCTTGGCCGCTTGTGCCTGCTTGTGCTCCCACACCAGGCTGGTCAGGTTGGCCACATACTCATCTGTCTGTTGCAGGAGGTAGGCCAGGCGCCGGTCCTTCTTCTGGTCGATCAGCTTCCTGTAACCCTCTTCGTCTTCGGCCTGTCAAGGAAAGAGGAGCATCGTAAGCACACGGCCATCAGGGTGTGTCCCTGGCGCTGGCTTGCCACCAGGGTGAAAAGCCACACAGTGACTGGAGCGGGATGGGGCGCTGCCTGAGCCTGCGCCCCGCCGTGATCCAGGGTCCATCTGCTGTGGGCCAGACCCTCCTGGCTTTCCCTGGCTCATCGTTTGCAAGAAGATCACCAGGCCTTTTCTCCTCGTCTGTCCGAAAAGCTCCTGAAGGTGATTCAGCATCGTGGCACCACACACGTCTCCACTGACCAGCAGCGGTGTGGAGCCCTGGTCCCCCAAATGGAAAGCTAGGACTGACCAGTGAACCGACACTGCCCACACACAAGTGGGTAGGCAACCCGTTTTCCCCGGCACCCTGGCCTGAACCAAGTGAGGTCGGCTGGCAGTGTCTGGAGCCAGCTGCACCAGTTGCCATGTCCAGGTGGGTACAGGCAGGTCCACAGGTGGTGGCCAGCTGAGTCCCAAGACAATGAAGTTGGCAGCACAGTGAAGCCACAGCCCCACCCTATAGGTCAACACCGAGGGGGAGAGGTGTGGCTCGGCAACCTTGCACTGTCTTTTAAAATTTCTCATAGGAAAGTGGTTCTCAGCCTTCCTCATGCCGTGGCCCTTTAATACAGTTCCTCATGTTGTGACTCCCCCAAACAAAATTATTTTCATTGCTACTTCATAGCTGTCCTTTTGCTACTGTTATGAATTGTCATAGAAATAGCTGATATGCATGATGTATTTTCATTGTTACAAATTGAACATTATTAAAGCATAGTGATTAATCACAAAAGCAATATGTAATTATGTATCAGGAAATATTTATTTCTAACTACAAATAGATGAAATTTTGTCTTGAAGCATGGTGTAGCCTGGGTAACAGTCTTAATGTAACAACAGTAAACTGCATTGCTACATTTCGCTACAGGATGGGTAAAAAGGCAATGTCAGTGTGAAGGTTGAGATAGCTTCTTTCTCACCAGATCAGCGTATCTGCAAGTGGGCGGACTCACCTGGAGACGATAGAGGAGCGGTGTCTCGGTTCCTAAGACCATCAGAAATATGTGTTTCCTGATGGTCTTAGGTGACCCCTGTGAAAGGGTCATTTGACCCCCAAAGGTGTCTCGACCCACAGGTTGAGAACCGCTGTTCTAGGACCTATCATTACACACACACACACACACACATATCCAAATTTGACCATTCACTGACCGAAGGCTATTCTTGACGCCTATTCTGGATCATCTCAAATATAATCAAGAACAGAGGGAGGGGCCAAGGAGTGTTCAGGTAGCTTTCAGCAAGATATGGAAAGTCAACCCACTGCCTAAAGAATGCAGAAGAGATTTTCATTTTCCCATGGAATCCATCCAGCCTTTCTGGACTCCCATCGGCTGGTGAACGCCCCGCCCCCCACCCCGAAACAAAAACCAAAAACTATTGCCCTGAGGTGACCTTTAAACCTTCAACCATTCATATCAAAAAAGCAATGACTGGCAATGATTTGCACTTTTCTTGAAACCACGTGACTTAGCTTCACGCAGGAGAGTCTGCCTCCCAGCACATGCTCCCTAAAGAACCGTCCATCGGGAGAATCAGATGGACAGTGGTCATCTCCCCAAGTTCAACGGGAAGCTCCAGCAGGGAGGGCAGTGAGACAAGGGGTCGGGAAGGGTGGCCTCACTTGAAGTACGCCATCCTGGCCCTTTCTGAAGTTTGACGTGGAATTGGCGTGAGTGCCGTCGGCTGGGCATGCTGAGCAGCAGCAGGCAAATGAAGCGAGAAACCAGTTCATCAGCTGGGAAGTGACTCCGCCCACGACTCGCCAGCCCGGCCACGACTGGAAGAAGTCCTTCCTGGAGAGCTCGAAGGGCATTCTTGCAGAGGAGGAAGCAAACGGGCTTTGACACGTGGCACACGATGCTCGCTACTTGAAACATAAACGCTCCTCGTGTGTGCAGCTCTTCTTGATGTGATCCAACGATTGCATGGTTTGACTAGGTGCCAATAAAACGCCAAAGACATTTTTAAAGCCTTTTGTTTGTTTGTTTGTTTGTTTGTTTTGCATTCAGAGGCAAGGTGGCTGATGACAGGCTGAAGCTGGGGGTGGGGGTGGTGGTAACACTTTTGTTTCCGACCTGTTAATAGGACCCCGGGGGCTGGAGTTATGTACCGCCAGGAGGCAGGTACTCGTGCAGTGAAAAGACAACAGGGAAGGTTGAATGGGACAATGGGACTCAGAATCACGTGGAGAGGAACCTAGGGTACCTACCCCACCTCCTGGATGCCAGGATCAAAGAAGCCACACACACAC